CGGACTGTATAAGCGATCAGAATAGAAAAGTAATACTCTGCAAGCATGTCAGAGATCATTCACATGAAGGACAAGAAACACAGTTATAAACTCTTCCATTCTTCACAATTTAAAACATGAACAGTAACACTGGAATTAGTTAACGAATTAATCAAAAAATTGAAATACCAAACCCAGCACAATCGCGACGTATTAAAATAAAATAATATATTATATTATTCATTCTTAACGCTCTACAAATTCTTGTTCTTTTTTTCTAGTCTTTGTCACAGTTACTTCTTGTTCGACTTGATTAATCATAGTGTCCCAAACGTTCGTCGCGTACTCCTTCGATATATCACCAAATACCACCTTGAATACATCGCTATACCAAGCAACGGGTACACCCCTGAGACCTTCCTTCACGTTTTCCGGAAGCTCTTCCCAGTCACTGAGATTGGCTTCCGGATAGATTAATGTAGTCACACCCGATCGCTTAGCAGCTACAGCTTTTTCACGTAGACCGCCAATTTTGAGAACCTTGCCGGTGAGCGTCAACTCACCCGTCATTGCTATTGTCGGATCTAATGGTTTCTGGAGAGCGAGAGAAAGAAGTGATGTTGCCATTGTTATACCAGCCGACGGTCCTGTATACAAGCCAATTAGTTTAAAAAATGCCTGATACTGGATTGTCTTTATTCTCAAGTACAACATTAATAAAGATATTTCGTACCGTCTTTTGGCGTAGCACCTTCAGGAACATGGAGATGAATTGCAGCTTTCTCGAAAAATCTGTTTCCTGGATATTCAAGCGCCATGAGGCTTTTTGCAAAGGTATATGCAATTGCAGTCGATTCCTTCATAACGTCGCCCATTTGACCAGTCTTGTTCAAAGACGGTGTTGAATTCGACGTTAAAATCGACTCCAAAGTGGACTCCACATATAAAGCAGAACCGCCTTTGAAACGTAATGCGTTCGGAAATTTAACAACGTGTACGTGAAGTAATACGAGAATATAAAAGAAAATGTTAACAGCATACCCATACTAGTCCATGCTAATCCCATAACAACGCCTGGTGGCGTTTGATCGTACAGCCTGTCAGAATACCATACGGGAGGACCAACGTAATCCTTAAGATTCTCGGCAGTAATATCAACGTGTATATTAGATGGAACATCCAAAGGTTTACGATTTTCAGTTGTAACGTTGATATCTTCATCATCAACTTTAGCAGCTCCTATCGAAGATAGTGGTGTTTCTCCCTCGGTCGAAGACCTATCCAACTCTTGAGAAGGCAATTCTTCATCTCCAATATCTTTCACTATCTTTAACGCTGCCTTACGATAAATTTTGTCTATTTGTTTTTTCAGGTTCCTGACTCCGCTTTCGCGGCAGTAAGATCGAATCAAAGCCTCAATAGCATCTTCGTGAAGGACAACATCTGTATTCTGCAATCCTGCCATTTCCTTAGCGACTGGCGCAAGATACTTTGCTGCAATAGCAACTTTTTCATCGGCCACGTAACCAGATAATTGAATGACCTCCATTCGATCTAGTAGAGGACCTGGAATGGTATCAACAATATTTGCAGTACACACAAATAGAACTTTGGATAGATCGACTGGCACGTCCATGTAGTGATCAAGAAACGAGGCATTCTGTTCTGGGTCTAAAAGTTCAAGCAAAGCAGAGGAAGGATCGCCCTGGTGACCACGTCCAATCTTGTCAACTGTTATGGAAATAAGATTAATATCTGTCGATATGTGTAACACGCAAGCAGAGGTAAACGATCTAGTACCTTCATCAATTAGTATTAACGGATTTTCTGTCTGCACTTTTTTCAAAGCCTGAACAACTTTTCCGGGCATTGCACCAACGTAAGTGCGACGATGTCCCTTAATCTCAGCAACATCGGTGAGACCACCAACACTGAATCTGTAAAATTGACGGGATAACGCACGCGCAATGGATTTTCCAATAGAAGTCTTGCCAACACCTGATGTATATAAGACAATAGTCAACGTTGCATTACAATGCCAGTGGCGACAGTCGCATAATTTAATTACCTGGTGGTCCAACTAGACACAATATTTTCCCTTCAACAGTTCCGCGTAATTTACCAACCGCAATAAATTCCAAAATACGATCCTTCACATCTTGTAAACCGTAATGATCCTCATCAAGGACTTTCATAGCGTGTTTGATATTGTAATTCTCTGGTGAGCGTTGCCCCCAGGGTATTTGCGTCAGCCAATCCAGGTAATTACGTGTAACATTGAATTCAGAAGCAGCAGGTTCGAGGTGAGCGAGTTTATTGATTTCCTGCAAAGCACAGTTATCACTATGATAAGCCAATAACATAAAGTTCCAATGAGGAAAAGAAGACCACACAAACCTCTTCAAAGACTTTCTTGACAGCATCAGGCATGGTAAGTTTCTCAGCCTTTTCCTTAAATTTCTCCACAAGTTTGTCTTTACCATCAGATTCAATACCAAGTTCTTTTTTTATTCCTTTCAATTGTTCCATTAAATAATATTCTCGCTGTCTCTTGGCTATTTTCGACTCGACCTCTTTACTTATCTTGCTTTGCAGCTGAGCATTAACTAATTCCTTTTTTAATACAAGCAAAGATTTTTGCAAACGCTCTTCAACTAACAGACTCTCGAGAACGTCCTGCAATTCATGCGGCTCACCGGTTGAAACGGCGGCTGCAAAATCGGCAAGTTTAGCGGGCTCTTCGAAAACGTTACCAGCCGACTGTGACATTGAGAAGCTAGCTATTTGATCACGGAAGAGTGGATTTAACGTTGCTATGTCCTTGAATACCGCTACAATTTCGGAAGTAATTGCGCGAATTACTTGATTCTTACGATTGTACGGTTCGTCGACAAGGTTTTCTACATTGACGAGTGATACATGAAAGTCTTTAAGGAATGATGTCACATAAGGCGTCTGCGATTCTTTCACGGTTTTGTCTTCGGAATGCTCATTATCGTGTTCTGTGGGGGCGATTTCCGCACCAGTCACCTGATCTACGTGATCCGTCGGTGGGATAAGCTCCGAGATTCGTATACGCCGATGAGGATACAAAACGGCTGTTAATGAGTTCTCGTCCTGTCCACTATTTGCCGGGAATACACTTGTGATTTGAGCAAACACACCAACGTTATACACTTGCGAGATATCCGTGATTACATCAACATCGAGTTCCTCGTCTTTTAACAAGAAAGCCCCAACATATGGTTGACCGCGTTTCATAAGTTCTTTAATTGCTGCAGTAACGCTCGGATCTTTGACGACAACTGCTTTATAAAATCCGGGAAAGAGCGGCCGACGAGCAATGGGTAAGGCTAAAACTTGCGGGTATACCTCAGGTATTGATGGCTTCTGCAGAGTTGTTTCTAGTACGTGTAATGTTCGCTGAATGCCTTCAAAGGGAGATCGAGCCGAATTATCCGAGCCAGAACCTGATCCGGGAGTTGAACCTGATCCAGAGGTTGATCCAACATTTCCTTTACCTTGATCGTCTCCCTTTCCTTCTGCAGCACTGCTTGAGTTGTTATCTTGTTCTTCATTACTAGATTCATGGTTATCTTCGGTAACATCCTCCTGTTTCTCGTTATGTCCTGTTTGATCGGATTCGTCCTTATTTTCGTTCCCATTGTCTTGATTAGAAGTTAACTTATCTTGCCCTTTTGATCTTCCACGTCTAAAACCTCTTTTGCTATACCATTCAGCCCACGTTGAATTCCATTCCGTTTTTCGACAGAGTTGTGAGTAGGGTAGACCGGCAGCATGTGATCTGTTCACTTCGACTGTGATCCCTCCCGCGAAAACAGGACCGTTCCTTGCGGTCGTCAGAAAGCACCTCGCACCAACAGGTAAAACTTGATTTGTTATTGCAATTGTGGGGGAGCGCGCAATAACTGCACTACCTCCAGAGAGGTTTTTCAGTATTGTTTGGAAACAAACTCGAAAAGAGGCCATACACTTGCATTACTTTACCCTGAATAGGGTATATGACGGTGACGTCAGTGGCTGCCACTTTATTTGCGTGAAGACCCCTGATGAGTTTATTGTAGGGGTTTGAAGGACGTCGGGCAATCGGTGGTCAGGTTACTGATGCATCGTCTGATCGAGTTTTTTTTACTGATTATTTTTTTGTGTCTCGTGATCTCGCATCTAACTTTGTGTCTATTTCTATCACTCACTAGTTCTAGAATTTTAAATACTTGCCGATCATCACGCAATACTCAAATATAAAAATTCTATTTACACCTCAAGATTTATTACTATTATTCTATTCGCGGATGGATTGTAACACATCAATAGTGGGCATTACTAATTACTACTACAGTCAACTCTCCCTAAATGCACGCCCTTGGGACTGAAAAGTTGAGAGCGTGCATTTAGCACCTGTTTCAACTAATTTGGACGATCGATTTAGGGGTTAAGAGATTTTTAAATGCCCGGTCGAGATGGGGTTGAAGAAGCTGGCATTTAGGGAGTTTGTATTAGTAAATCACGTGATAACAGAATATATATGTTCTGGACCAAATCAAATGTGATGTGCGATTTATGCGAAATGGAGGGTATTAGTGCCACATTCACCGAGCTGACAAATATACCGAATAACTGAGTATCGCTCGCCCAAGCGGCAAAACTCCAAAGTTCAGGACAGTACAAGGCTCATAGTATGTTGCTGTAAATCTAACTGTAATACTAATCGATGTCCTTGTAAGAGATCAAGTGACTCCAGATGTCATCCGTCACAATCAAAATGTATAATAATAAACAGAGAGTAACGTTTTTAACTTTTATTATTAATATTAATAAACATAACAATCGTATCGATTGATGGTATTGGCTGGGTGACAAAATCGCACATCACATTGAATACTCAGTGTAACATTTGGATATGGGCCGGCCCAAGTTGAAATTTTGAAATGGGCCAAATTTTGATTTGGTCTAGAACATATATTTTTATTGTGGCTTTCACATACAGTAATAATAATCATTCATAAAATACATGTCTGTCGAGGTGTGTGATAACCATCGTCATCAAGAAAGGTGTCAATGTCTAAATCATGTTTATCAATTATATACATTGTTGCGGTGATAATAGATCGTACATACAAAATTTCCTTTAATACAAGTGCAAGCGGTTTGGTGTTTGTCAACCTGCCAGCGACTTCTTGAATATTGTTATGGTTCATTCGAGTAACATATCCTTTAGGACGGTCGACGGTTAGAACTTGTAGCCTATTTGCACCATTGAGTATTCCTATTACTTTTAGTCCTTCTTTCGTTCCGCATTCTTTAATTAATTTATCCATCATGTCCTTCAGCATTTTAGACAATTTAAGCGAATCGGACAAAAGTTTCGTACCGCTTTTCTCTTTATATTTCCTTCCGGCTTCAATTGCACCGACTTCTAAACGACTGTTGGGTAACCTGAAGACGCCATCTCCTTTTCTTCCGAATTTTTTATAAGTGTTGACCGCGTTCTTCCTTTCGCTGGAAGCGAAGCTCATCCCCTCGCCACGGATCAAATTAACATTTAAATCGTCTAATGCAGGATCGATAAGTCGGCTCCAGATGTTCATCGCGAACCATCCCTCTGATTTCGAAGAATCAAAAGGATTGTTGTCCATCTCCCATAAACGTAAGATTCCGCGATAAGCGTTATTGATATAATCAAGACAGAAATGATCGTTCCGATTATATTCTTTGCCGTCGGGTGTAAATGATTCGAAGAGAAGTGATCTTAGCTTTCTAATATCATTCGTTGTGTATTTTTTTAACAAGTTCTTGTGACAGGGATCAAGCTTTGGCTTCTCTTTGGCTTTGAAAGTTCTAATTTCTTTCCATTCTTCGGGTGAAAATAATGATCTCGTTTCGGCATCAGCATCGTTGATTATAAAAGAATGAAGATAGGATTCTCTGCGCAGGTCTTTAGCAAATTCGTATACAACTGTCTCTACTTTAGTACCAGTTTTCAGTGTCCACATACGATCTGGGTCCATGGCTAAGTAAGCTTGTTGGAATTTGACCAAATCTGCCTCAATTGGTGATGTATTAGACTTATCATTGGTGGTCTTCTCGTCAACGTAGTCATAATCAGTGCTCTTGTCATCAACGGTATAATCATCAACGCAGTCATCATCAGTATAATCATCAACGAAGGGATCCTCCCAAGCCATGTGATGTGCTGGAACTGTTTCACATTTCGCTTGGTCGTTCAGTGGCGTCTAATTAGCAGTAAAAGTATAAGTTAATTTGTTGCGGCCAATAAATAAAGAGTAATTCAGCCTGTCCCTGCCTCATCCTCTTGCTTGGAAGACTTACCGATGTCTTTATTTCATTGAAGCTTAGCCGTTTGTGATACGAACCTGCCCGGAAAAAGTCATCGATCTCCTTATCTAAAGTCTGCAGGAAAGCAAAACTAATCAATATTAATGAAAACATAAAACAATATTGGAAATGACACAAGCATACATAGCATACATTCTTCTCCACTTCAGATGAGACAAACGTTTTTTGATAATAATCCGGAGTTTTTCCTTGGTTTATACTTTGACATCGGTTGATTCTTGTACGTTTCAGATCTTCTTCCTTATTTTAAAGATTAAGATTAGACATGACACTCAAACGGTTCTGACAATGTTTGCATACAAACCTCTTCCCGATGTCTTTTTTTTGGCGCAGTTTCTACATTAAAGTTTTCACAGATGATAGTCCCACATACAATCCCGTTTACCACTGGGTTGTGGAGGTAGATTTGCTTACGTGTACGTTCACGTTCCCACCTTCTTGCCAATTTACGATCGATCCGAGGTCCCTTAAAATGCATTATTCAGATAAATTAGTAACCATTCTCAATATTATCTAATCCCGTCTAATTATCATTCCCATCAGAACGTCGGCCAAACTTCGAGATCTTCTGCATCCAATGGGTCCGGCGTTGGCTCGACTTAGAAGACTTATAAGCTATCAGGCGAACTTCGAGATCACCTGGGCCCCAACATCCAGTTTCGTGGTTTCAACTTTGAAGACTTTACAGTTACAAGAAACTTCGAGATTCTTGCGACCCCACTTTATTTGTTATCTCACCCTTTGCGACAAAAAGTTATACTTGCCTTGTTGTATTTATCAAAAAGCTGTTGAGCTTTGTCTTTCTTTCTTCCTTCCTCGTGCTCCATAAGAATCTTAAGGCTTGTTAATATAGGCTTATCTTTGCTTGAAACGGTTCTTCAATACAAGTGTTCAAAAACCCAATAATACTCCACTCAAAATATGCTCGTTCAAAATATTTGTGTGTGAAATTTTATTTTATGCGCGTAACAAGTTTGTCACTGAAAAACGCGCTTAACCGCTTAACGCTTAATATTAACCGTTTGCACACACGCGCCGGCCAATCAACTTAACACATACTACAATAACAAATTTAGTAAGGATTTTGTAGATTAGTTCGAGAACAATCTATCTGATATTAATGAGTTGTACAGTATACAGATATTCCATCATATACTGTAGGTTGCGTTTGTGGCTGCTCGAGAAAATTTTGCTGAATTACGTGAAGCGTTTCAAGCTCTCTCCAGATGTATTTTTAATGACCCAACTGAAAGCAATGAATGGCGGAGAAATAACTACCAGTCGACGTCTTAAAAAGAAAATGCGTACTAATAAGCGAACATTTTACTACTGAGATCGCAATACGTCTCAATATGTTAGGAATTGGTCGAACTCACTTTGAAAACGTCAGAAATCACTTAGCAACAAATGGTATAATACCACGCGTTCATGGTAACATAAAACGAATGCCGCGATGGAAAACCAAAATCACCATTGATATAACTGTTGCTACCGCGGTGAAAAATTTTCTCGAGAATTACGCTGAAATACATAGACTACAAAGTCCGGGTAGAAATGTCAACCGTATTACTCAATCGCTTACACTTTTGCCAGCCGAAACGAGTTATAAATCAGTCTATCGTAATTTTATTGCAGGTCTTGAAAATAATAGTACGTTGAAATTGTTAAAGTATGATGCGTTTCGCAAGTTATGGCACCAATTAACGCCTTATATTCAAATCATGAGTCCAAGAACCGATTTATGTGACACATGCCAACGTTTTCGGAATTGTTTACAGTATAATGCTCGTAAGGAGGAAGCGAAAGATTTATTGAAAAAATTCAAAGAACATCTGGTTAAGGCTAAATTAGAGAGAAATTATTACAACAAAAACACGAAGTTAGCAGAACAACAGAGAAATTGGTAGATGATAATAACAGGAGGTAAAGCTGATTATTGTAGCATCGACGCTAACGCTCATTACAATTACGATTGAGCGCAAAACGTTCATCTACCCCATTCCGATCAACAGGTAAGTAAGATTTATTATCTTAGTCCGCATAAAGTGTATTTATTTGGTATTCAGGACGAAGCAGTACGCGAGCAAATTAACTACGTTCTTGATGAAGACGAAATTATTGGCAATGGTAAATTCTTTAATGAGGAAGCAGTAAAGCTTTATTTAAGTGGAATCAAAGATGCTTTAGAATCAGTGGGGCGGGGATTAGATCCAGTGGAACAAAATGAATTAGAGCAAATTGATCACTATCTTGAGCATGGTCCAACTCCTCCTGAAAAGAGAATTCATCCAATGGAACTAAAAGGAGCTTTAGGAGTCAAAACTAATGTGTTTCGGGATTTAACTAAAAATGAACCAATTACTCCCAACATATTGATTTCAAAATCAAGGCCGATAAAATTAAAAAACTGGCCGATAAAGTTAATAAACCAGGAGCTAAAATTAAAACTCCCGACCTAGTTAAATACTGTAAAGAAGTCTTGGCTAAAAAACATGAAATAGTAGAAGATGATACTTATAATCTTCCGGAAGCCAATGCCAACAATCGAGATTGATAAGATTGATCCTTTACGCGGGATCCGGAAGTAGTGGTGGGAACGATTGCTTTACAAGAACTAAAAGCAGGTAGTAATCTTAAAGAACAAATCCTAAAAGAGATGGAAGATTACAAAGAATATTAAAAAGGATTGGTTAAGTTAGACCTGTCAATTTATGGAGATGGTAAAAAATTTACTGAGGAAGGAATCATCAAGTACTATACTGAAAAGTTAGGTGGACAAAATCATGCTAAGAAACAATATGAAAAGCCTTTTGAGGATAATAAACAAGAAAGTTTTTGAAGAATTAATAATCCTTCTGCTTGAGCAGCTGGAGGAGAAATTTTTTTATTACTAATACTAAGTAGTCTTGGTTGAGCCATCTGGAAATGAAAACTCCTGGCTCAATGATGAAACTCCCCGCTGAACTAGAAGAAGAGGATGATGAAGAGGAGGATGATTAATAATGATTTGATTGTTTATTCTGCCAGGTTCTTTTCTTTCTTGGTTCATCATGTGTTGGTGTTAATGCTCATTTAGTAGTTATGGTTTTCCGTTTCTCTTGATAAATTTCATAATAATAAGTGATTTTTTCTTGATCGAGATATTGCTGGAGAGTTTGGGTATCATTGATTTTAAAAATGTAAGGTGCTATTTTTTCTCCTTGGGCTTTCTTTAGAATGCTTCTAATAGTGCTGTAGTTCTTGGGTTCCATAGTGGATTTAATGTAAATTAGTTTCATATTATATTTTTATATATTAATATAAAGGTAACCCTATATTAATCCTGTTATGAATGAACAAACCATTATTACTTTCCAAAACGTCATCAGTCACCTGGTCAATTTTACAGCCACATCATAATCAGCCTGTCATGTATAGAATGTTCACTTTGTCTGGGTGTTGTTGCAGCATGCCCCAATTAGTATTAGTAATCAATTTAAAACGCGTCATTTTTAATTGGCTTAAATAATGATACAGTACACGACAGGTCGGGACAGTCGTATCGAGTTTACCATAAGATTGTCCCAGTAAGCATACTTGATAAAATATGTTCATTATAGTAACGATTTAGACACTTTTTCGGGATTTGTCACATTAGAGAAAATCTCTAGCACAAACATATTATGTAAAAAAGTATACGACGATTTTCAAACGAGTCGTAACATTCATACATCATTGACAATGAACTAGTTTATTCCTTGTGTGTGCAGTCAATTAAATTTAATGAATATACGAAAACTGCATCTTGGAAAATAATCAGTGGATAGAACGTTTCAATAAACTATTGTTAATAAACCTATTTTACAGTGGAAAAGGTGAAGTATGACAACCAAATATGTGTGGCTTCTGTGGCTTGTGAATAGTATTATGCCTAGATTCAGAGCAGATGTTGCGTTCAACTTTCATAACTCTACGTCTTTCCCAATCTAAGAAAAGAAATGAGTCAAGAGGAGGATGAGGCAGACATTGACTATTACGACCTCCTCGGCGTCCCTCAAGACAGCACGAACGAAGTAATTGACAAGGCATACCGTCGAAAAGCCAGAAAATACCACCCAGACAAAAACCGCGATAATCCCGAAGCCGGTTTGGTATCGTATTCAACGTTATTATACTGCTTGCTCTTGCTTAATTAATACTCAGATCTACTGTTTGCTTTTGTTTTTATAGCAACGAAAGTATTTCACCAGATAAGTAAGGCTTACGAGATACTTACAAATCCACAAAAACGGTTGGTTTATGACAACGCGCGCAAAGCACGCTCTGCACTCAAAGTTAGACATGAAGCACTAGATGCAAAGCGAAAAGCTATGAAAGCAGGTACCATGCACGTTATTCTTACTGTCGGAGAACCTTTACTGTAATAATACGACGGGTGTATTGACATTGTGTAAAAACAACGCTTTACAGATTTGGAAGACAGAGAAAACGCCGCTAGGCTAGAAAAACGAAAAAAAACCGCGGCAGAAGAATCAAGGCAAGCAAAGGTAGTTATCGGTTACGATAAATTTTCGTAATTTATTTTGGAGACTTTCATTTTGATGGTTTTTAAATTTAGATTGAACGTCTGAAAGAAGAGACAGCACGAAGACGTGAGAGAATGGGAAGAAAACAAGGAGATAAGTCATAGTGGAAAATGAGAGAAGACAGGAATTGTAGCGAAGTTCAACTGTTGACCAGGATAGAATCATTGAGAGCGAATATGCGTATATACTTTATGATAACGTAAAATAACGCACTCTCCTGATTACATTAATTATCCAAGTCCTTCCCGTATCTCTGTACATTGTTGTTTTTTCTTTCGAACTTAATCAGAGACACTGCTACTTTTAATGATATCCTTATTGTAATCATGCAAGTTTAATAATTCTCCTGATAGAATGCAGATTGAGATCTCCTTAAAGGAGCTTATCTCTGCGGTTATGTTTGATGTTGTAAATCAGGTGTTCGGGGGAAAGAACAGTAGAAGAGAACTGACTACCTTACAGGAATATTGAGATAGAATTGTTTATATATTGTAGCTTGATTTGACTCTTGCTATCGGGATGTTATTCATTCCTTTCCTAACACCAATTCACTCAAACTTTTTCACTGCAGATGTCATCGACATGTAATGTATTCCGTGCAGAAGGCAAATTTCCAAATAACAGGATTAGAAATGGCGTTGGTTAATTATTCCGCCCTGCATTCACTTTTCTTACGCGCATTGTGAGTCTGAAAAAGCCGACTTGTGACATTTTCGAAATGGCTTAGATAATAAGCCGTGTCGATGTAATCTCTTCACATTGTATGAAGTAAACGAGAAGTCTCGCTGTATAATAACCGGGCATCACGGATTATTCATAAGCTAAGGCGTTCCGAAGATTGCATCATACATGTCAAACGAACGAGTTTGCAATAACGTCCGTCAATATAAATAGATTTACTGTTCATAAATATGGACCATTGGATAAGTAGAGTAGATTATCATTGAAGCATCTCATCAGTTTGTCAGTATGAGCTTTATTAGTTACTTTATCATATAGGCGCGCGGTAACTGTTTTTCTTTATTATTACTACTTAACGTTAATTATACCTGATGCTGCGCTTTTCATGAAGGCTTACTTTAAATCACGAGACGATGTAGAAAGCTTTGCCAATGAAATGATCTCCTTAATTGGCAAAAAAATTTTCTTATGCGTATCTTAGACACAGGGAATGTCAGACTTTACTGTCCAACTACTACTACTACTACTACAGATAAACTGCTAAAGCTGGTTTTAACATATACATAAGTACAGAGGTACAATAAAAATTTGCCATAAGGGCTGGAATATAATACGAGATTAAAAAGAAAGAAAAATGAAATTACTAAGAATAGTAATAGAATTCAAATTAATATTAAATGTTTATTATTATATTAGAGAGGAAGAGGGAATGAGTGAAGTCATGGCTGATATGGATGGCCATGGAAGATGTGGAGTAATTGATCTGTAATAGTAAGATAAGAGAATTGATATGAGAGATTGGAGAGACTGATTAGGTGATGAAGGGGTAGAAGAGGAGAATGAGGTGG